TACATGTACTCAAAACAGTCAGTCTCCCAGTCCTTCTGGCTTGCTTCTCTGTGCCCCCTTCCCCCTCACTGCCACCGCTTCCTTGGACGCTGGGTGCCATTTTGTTCATGCCAGGAGGGGAGGAGAAGAGGAGGTGAGGAGGGCAAGACTGCATTTGTGCTCTGACATGGTCTGTCTGCAGCAGTGAGTTCCACACTGAAGTGTGTTGGTTAAAAGCACAGATTCTCACAGGCTGCCCTCAAATAGCGAATCTTCATTGTGAAAGGACTCCCTGGCGATCCAGTAAGGAGGCCTGGCCCTGCAGTGATTAAGCACTCAGCTGCTCACCAAAAGATGGGCAGCTCAAGCCCACGTGGCGGTTCTGTGAGAGGAAGGAGCTGGTAATGTCCTCCCAGGAAGACTACGGCCTGGGAAACCCTGTGGGGAAGTTCTGTGCTCTGTAGGTGCGCTGTGAGTGAGAACTGACTCTGCAGCACGTGGTGACGGCACCCAGCGACAGCGATCCCGTGATTCCAGTAGAAGGGGTCTAGAGACCACACTGGGAGGCGCCTTCTCGCCCTGCTGTGAGGAGGTGTGGCTCTGCTGTGGACCTGGGTGCAGCACCGAGCTGATGGAACACTGATCAGAATGCGGGGTGGCTAGGAGCAGGAATGTTTATACGCATGTTGAGTTCTTTCCCTTTCCCTCCCTCCACCCCCTTCATCCCCGTCCTGCCTTCTTTTCCTCTCTCCACTTTCTCCATGCATGATTGTTTTTTGTTTGTTTTTTTTTTTTGTTTGAAGCAATCTCTTTAGTTTATAGCCTCTGATGACATAGTTTGCTGTGGGAAACCATTCCAGCTTTTTTTTCGTCTGTTAGACACAGACACCTCCTGTACTCTGTTTTCTAGACCTGCCCCGTGCCCCTGCTGTCTGTTCAGTCTCAGGTGCGTACCTGTGTTCCTGACTATTTACGTGCTTTAGCTTGCCAGGTCTGGCGCTAATTGTCGGCTGTATTTGATCACAGGAGAGTGAAGCAATTTGGGATCTGGAACAAGCTCCAGTTTTAGAAACAGCCTGTAGAGCAGTTTGTTTTGTTTTTTAGCATTTTAAACAAGTAAACTCATCTACAGAAATAGATTGCTCAACAAGTCAAATTCATAGAAGTGAATTTTACCTCATCCCCGTTGTCCTGTAAGCAGGAACACTGAGCGTTGGGACTGTGAGGGGCAGCTGCAGTGCGTGTCCAGAAGAGCCAGCCTGCACCCACCTCCCACTAGTGAGGCGCTGTCCTCTTTTGGGCCCTCCTTTCTGATAATCCCAGATAAACGGGTCAGAGAGGCAAACAGATTTCCATTGATCTGGTTTCTAGTCACAGCCTGAATAGCTGAAAGAAATGGAAATCAGCATTTGAAAGCCAGTCCAAGAAGGCTGTCTGGAGAAGCACCACTGTTTCAGAGGGGAGCCATCAACCCTGAAGGCAAGGACATTGCCTGGACTGTTAGAGGGCCTCCGTGGGCCATCAAAAAGTATCATTTCCAGGGCACCACCACTCACAATGTCACGCGCTGAGCTGCTGGAGGAGCTTCTTGGTGTCATCATCTGAAGACAGGCTTGACCTATTCCCTCAAGGGCACTGTGTTCACCTGCTTGGCCCAGGAGTGTCAACTCTAGCAACCACGTAAACTTGGCCATCCCACATGGACCCTTCTTTACTCTTGGCTCCCTCATTTGAAGCTTGCTGCGAGGATCCTTTCCATAAGACTGAGAGAGGAGAGTGGTACTGTGAAACAGTTTCTAAGCTTGCCAAGGAGGTGTTGGCTCTGTAGGCTGTGATGAGCCAACCCTATAAAAGAGTCAGAAAAGTAAAACAGTAACACTGGCTTTGAGTTGGTGCAAACAGGGTAACTTGTTTTGTAACAGTCTTAAAGGACCCCCATGTTTTCATGACACTTTGTTGTTGTCAGGTGCCTTCGACTCACAATGCCCTTGTGTACAGTGAGGTTACTGTACGGTTACTGCTGTGCTTCATTCAGTTCATTGTTGGAACCACTCTGTCAGTCCACCTCACTGAGGCTCTTCCTCTGAACTTTACCAAGTGTGATGCTTTCTTTGGGGACTGGTCCCTCCTGATAACATGTTCCAAGGACATGAGACCAAGTCTCGCCATCCTCACTTCTAGGAAGCATTCTGGCTTCAGTTCTTCTAAGGCAGGTTTGTTTGTCCTTCTGGGAGGCCGTGGTATATTCAGGCTTCTCCAGGTCCTGAAAGCTTTGCTCCATCCACGTCTTGAAGGTTGACTTTCCTTTGAGGAGACAGCTCTTCCCAGTCATATCTTGAGTGCCTTTGGAAGTGTCTAACCATGAGGTCTGTGGTTTGAACCCACCAGCTGCTCTGCAGGAGAAAGGCGAGGCAGTCTGCCTCTGTAAAGATGGATAGCTTTGGGAACCCTCTGAGGCAGTTTTATTCTGGTCCTGTAGGGTCACTTGGGGTCGGAATTGACAGGATGGCATTGAGGCGTGGCAGTGGGGGTCTGACCTGCGGAGTTCATTTTCCAGCATTGTATCAGACTGTATTCTGCTGCTATTCATAAGGTTTTCACTGGCCAGGTTTTTCAGAAGTGGATCGCTAGGTCCGTCTCCCTAGCCTGTCTTGGTGTAGAAGTACTGCTGAAACCTGCCCTCCATGGGTATTTGAAATACTGGTTGTGTTCCTTCCAGCTTCACAACAACATGGAAGCCACCACAGTACCACGAACTCACAGACGTCATTTCCAACTCACAGCAAACCCTCTGTGGGTTTCCAAGGCAGTATCTCTACGGAAGTACATTGCCTAGTCGTCCTTCTGAGGACTGGCTGGTGGGTTTGAACTGCCACCCCTTCTGGTTGGCACTCAGATAGATGCCTTAGGCATTGCGCCACTGGAGCTCCCTAGGTGGCCAGGCTCAGTGCAGTCATTTCTAACCATGCCTGCAAGCGTTTTGTGTGTGTTACCTATTTTGTTCTTTCATTGCAGTATCCTTAACTGGTAATTTTTAATCTAAAACACATTTGGGTCCCATTGACATATCTGCCGGTCATGGTCTTTTTGTAATTGCTGCATTTGCAGCAATGTTGAGCAGTCATCTCCCAAAGCTATTTTCTTTCCTTAGATCAGAGAAACGCTCTTACTTTATGCGGGTGAGGGATGTTTCAGCTGCAGACTCTTAGCTCTAATATGTGTCAGTGCTAAACATAGAGATCAGGCCCCGAACTCAGAATAGGCCGGGCTCTGTGAAGTTTGGTGGAACTTTTTTGAGGGTGAATGCCGAATTCCCAGTTACAAACCTTATGCACAGTTTGGATTAAAAATAAATATTCAAGAACTAGGCCATGGTTGTAGATTCGAATAGTTAAATTTCATCTTCAGTGATAGGAACAATCAAACCTTTGCTATGATAACATTTTTAAGCTTATCTTTAGTTGCTTTGGTGGTGGTGGTTTTGCTTTTGTTAGTAGTTGGCATTTCTTTGAACTCATTTGGTTGTTAAAGCCTGTTAGTTTGTATACTTGTAAAATGTCAATCTTTGTAAACTGTAACGTCCACTAG